CTAAAGCTGAGGTGATTAATCAGACATGGTGAAAAAACATGTTTAAAACAATTCCATATAAGACTTGTAATTGCCCACACAATGATAGGAAAGAAAGTCCTAGTTTTCTGTTTATACAAAAAAAATAGTTTGCAGAGGCAGTATCTTTGTTGGTTTTGTTTGTGTATTACTTTACTGTAATGTACTATGTACTAATCCTAGCAGCTCTCTGATCTCTGTGAGGCTGACCTGGTTAAAAAAAAAAACAACATAAAAACACAAACAAATGGATATGTATCTTTGTAATAATATAAATGATGATATAAATGTATTGTACACATATTGTGTACACTATTGTCATGTGAAGTACCTTCAATCAAACTCACTGGCTTTTTTGAGATGCCGTACCATTTTATCCTCTCTGACACAGTGCCTACTGATATCAGTGACATACTTGAACATAACAAAGAAAACTACCTTTGTCAATCATATATTCAACAAAAAGATCAATAGATGCAAAGTTCTTTAGGTGGAAAAAGCAAGAATGGGTTCAGAAGCTATTATTGTTCGATTTGTAGGCATTATGTGTCATTGCCTACTACTATTAGGCATCTGCTTGTCAAAATTTTTGCCCATTTGTTCATGTAAAATTCCTCCATTTGCTAAATGTCTGAGAATCTTCTTTTATGTGGTGCCTGTTTCAAATTCATTGACAACATATAAAGTGAATTCTAATAAAGATTAATTCCATTATCCTCCATATCTTTTTTTTAAAAACCGTTCTTTGGCAGATTTACTAGCTTACTTTGGACTATTGTCATGTGATACGATAACAAAATCTGGTTGGTTCAATTTAAACTTTCTGACAGATGGGTTTCTCTACATTATCTTTATAAACTCTTTGATGTGATGCAAAATTCATAGCTGAATCAATGACTGAAAGCTGTCCAGTCCCTGATGCAGAGAAGCAACCCTAAACATGAGCATTTCCACCATCGTTCTTCATGGTAAGACTCACAGAGCACAACCATTTTTCTCACAGAGCTCTTTAGAGCTTGGTGTGATGACACCAACACTTCACTGGCAAAGAGGAGATCTAACCCTCAAAGTCAGAGTTTAAATAGGACAGGTTCCACCTGTCATTCCTGAAG